CTTTCTTTTGAGGGGGTTGCACTAGATGACCTACAAGGTCCCTTCCAACTAGGATAATTTGTAATCTTTTTTTTTCCTTCCTTCCTTTCTCTTTCATTCTTTTGGGAGAGGTTGGACTAGATGATCTCCAAGGTACCTTCCCACTCTTGTTATTCACCCCCAGGGAGCTCAGAGACGGCAGCAAATGCTTAACCATCTTCTCCATTATGTCAGCTACCAAATGGTATAAGGGCCAAGTAAAAATAGGGGGGAAAATACTCTCTGGAAATGTGCTTGGAAGGAAGAACGAACCACAGCGTTAAACAGAGGAGGGTAGATTACACACACACACACACACACACACACACCCAAACTACATCTCACCCCTTCCGTTGGTTGTGCGTCGGCCTCTCTCCGCACTTAAAGTGCTTTTTGGGGGGGAGGAATTACTTCACACCTCTTCACCCCCAACAGCCCTTGCAAAGGATGTGAGGCTGGGCTGGCTGTTTCTCTCTTACACGTTTTCCCAGGAGGTGGGTGGGTGGGTGGGTGTGCAAGGGCTGCCCCCCGTCCCCCCCCTTAGCCGTTGGCAGAGAGCATGGTGAGCGTTTGGCTCAGCTTTGATCTTGGGCCTCGGGTGCCCTGCTGATAAAGTGGGGCGGGGGCTTTCCCCCTCCTCCCTGCTTTCGTCGAGGTGTGAAAACATTTGCAAACCGAGAAACCCCTGAATGGCAGGCTGACCAAGAATAACCCGTGAACCAAACCCTGCAGAGAAAGCCTCTTCTAACTATGGTTTTATTTTGTTATACAAAATACAAAGAAGAGGAGAGGGGGAATAAGAGGAGGAGGAGGAGGAGGAGGAGGAGGAGGAGGAGGAAGAAGAAGAAGAAGAAGAAGAAGAAGAAGAAGAAGAAGAAGAAGAAGAAGAAGAAGAAGAAGAAGAAGAAGAAGAAGAAGAAGAAGAAATAATTGAGACAGGAGGAGGAGGAGGAAGAGGAAGAAGAAGAAGTAATTGAGACAGGAGGAGGAGGAGGAGGAAGAAGAAGAAGGAGGAGGAGGAGGAGGAGAAGAAGGAGGAGGAGAAGAAGAAATAATTGAGACAGGAGGAGGAGGAAGAGGAAGAAGAAGAAGAAGAAGAAGAAGAAGAAGAAGAAGAAGAAGAAGAAGAAGAAGAAGAAGAAGAAGACAGAATAGAGTTGGAAGGGACCTTGTAGGTCATCTAGTCCAGCCCCCCGCCCAAGCGGGAGACCCCACACCATTTCTGACAGATGGGAGTCCAGTCTCTTCTTGAAAGCCTCCAGGGATGAAGCTCCCACAACTTCCGAGGGCAACTTCTGTTCCATGGGTTGATCGTTCTCCCTGTCAGAAAATTCCTCCTTATTTCCAGGTTGAATCTCTCCTGGATCAGTTTCCATCCATCGTTCCCTGCAGAAGGGAAATTAAGGGAGGGAAAGGGTGGGGTTGAGATACAAGGGGAAAGAAAGAAAGAGGAAAAGGAAGGAAGAAAAGGGGGAAAAAGAAAGAAAGATTACAAATTATCAGAGTTGGAAGGGACCTTGTAGGTCATCTAGTGAGAATAGGTTGACTCCGCTTCCTCTTCTTTGGGGCAGCCCCTCAAATATTGGAAGCCTGCTATCGTGTCATCCCTAGTCCTTCTTTTCACTAGACTGGCCGTTCCCAAATCCTGCAAGAGTTTTTTCCTCCAAGCCTTTAATCCTCTTTTTTGCTCTTTCTCTGCACTCTTTCTAGAATGTCAACGTCCCCAAATATGTAGCCTTTGTATAAATGGGAGGGGGCAGTCATTGTTTATATCGTTGTATATCGGGGGTTCTTATTTTTTGTAAACAACCCAGAGTCACTGGGAGTAATCGGGTGGCCATATAAATCTAATATTAAATAAGCAAACAAATAAATGTGATACCAAAAACGTAGTGGGTTTGTATCTGACAACAGAGAGCTTCAACCATGCCAGAGTTGAGTATCTTTGTAGTAAGTGGTGGTTGCATTCGGATCGGTCTACCAAGGAGGAACTTCTGGTGGAGCATCTTGGAAGCAAGAGCGACCATTCCTGTGTGGTCTTAACAGAAGAACCAGAGTTGGAAGGGACCCTGGAGGATGTCTAGCCCAGCCCCCTGCTAACAGGCTTCCGAGACCTCAAGAGAAGAGGCAGGAGGAGGCCACAGGGGACTCTCCATCATCGTGTGGACTCAAAGGATCGGAAATTTAAGAGTGGAGTTGGGGACCAGGAAGTTCTGGCCCAAGGCACCTAACCAAGAAGGCAAAACTTCCGATTGCGCGATTGCAGTTGTCTACTTCATTTTTATTTTTTTTGACCTGCCAGTCAAACCATAACACAGCAATGAGACACAACAAGCCAACATGCTAACCTACATAACTGGCTGGAGAATTCTGGGAGTTGAAGTCCACAAGTCTTAAAGGGGCCCAGGTGGGAGACCCCTGACTTAGATGACCCTTCTGGTCTCTTCCAACTCTATCATTCCTGGCTGGCTGGGAGATTCTGGGAGTTGAAGTCCACAAGTCTTACAGTGGCCCAGGTGGGAGACTCCTGACTTAGATGACCCTTCTGGTCTCTTCCAACTCTATCATTCCTGGCTGGCTGAGGAAT